GTTCGGGTACTATCTTTTTGACTAAACACTGGAAGCCAAACACAAGACAGAAAAGCAGGGAAAGCAACAGCGTTGCTTTACCCCCCCTATACCTCCCCGTCGCACTGGGAGGGGTTTTCCCCGATCCCATTGCTCATCCTCTAGTGAAGGTTTAGTGCCTTCAAAAGTTGATCCAGATTGGTCCCAATTTATCGAGTGTTTTGGGGGTCAAAAAGGGTGCACACCCCAAGAAGTAATGAGCTGGCATGAAAGACACCTTGTGAGGAATACAGAGCATCGGGGGATCAAGATCGCTTATTCTCCCTCCTTCTCATCAGGTCATTCAATTTTCCCGAGGACAGATCGATGGCCGGTGACCCGCGGTGCCCCCAAAGGGCACGTTTGGGCGGAGTTTATTGGCTTTTTGGGAGGATTCTTCGCACAGCATTGATTTTTCCTGGTTTGCTGTGATTTCACACTTGGAGGTTTTGGGTGGGTCCCATTCTTCTCCCCTTTTTTTTCACCGTTGTAGGTCCCCCCCGAGGGACTCATCAGTCCCGCCCGAGTGCCGTCATCCCGGACCAGATGTTGAGCTCGCTGCGTAGGGTGGGAAATTAGTTCTTTACTGCCAAGCAGAAAAGAAGTGGGCAGTGGGCACCCTGCTGAACACCCTCGATGATGAATTTCATGTTCTCCAAAAAAAAAATTGAGGGTTTGCGTAGCCCGGGTGAATGAAGGGGAAAAAGACGGGGGGAACCCAACCCAAAAAAGCTGGCAAAACAACATTCCCCTTCACCATTTAAAGGGTTTCTAAAAACAAGTTTTACTAAAGGCCTTTTTCTTCTGGGAGGTCCCCGATGTAGGCCCTTGTGGCATGAATGCAGCTTCACTCCTTGAGAACCCCAAAGCCCAGTTGGGGTGGGTGGATAAGGGCAGCTTTTTAGGTGAATGTTCTCCTGGCTTTGGCAAAGAGACGGGGAAGAGTGTTTCCAACTGCAATGGGTCTGATTCCCCCTCCCCCTTCTTCAAAAACACATAGTGGGCTCCAAAAAAAGAAAAGGGTTTTTTTCTTCTGGGGTTCCCCGCCAGGGAATTTTTTGACGAAAGTTGTTAACTCGGTGAGAAGAATTGATGCAGATTCCCGAGTACTGGATTTACCATCTCTTTAGGTTCTGAGGTCGAATTTCCCCGGTAACCTCCTGCAGATCCTGCTGGGAAAAGACACGATCGCCTTATAGACTTCCCATTCTGGGAAAATTAATTGTTTAGGATGGGGGCCTTCCTCGGGTTTCGTTTATGGCTTGGTGCCCCTGGGGTTATGCTTGTCTCTTATGCTGGGCCGTGGTTCATCCTTGGGGGCTACGTTGGGCACTTTAATTTTCTCATTGCTCCCCCTGTTTACCTTCTTCAATTTTTTTTCTAACCCGTGCGCAAATTTTTTTCGTTTTCATGGACTTTTTTTGGGGCTACCTCTTTTATTTTCCGCGTGATGGGGGAGAGGGGCCAGTTTTCCGTTCTTGGGGAGTTTCGCCTGCCTTTAAACTGACGGGTTAGCAGTTTTTTCCTCGTCTTTTTTAGGGGAAATGCAAACGACATTGCGAACAAAAGTAGGTTGCGCCATGCTTTGGGTGGTGCCCGGGGTTTAAGTTGGGGAACCCCATATAATATATAATATTTATTTTTTTTTTATCCAAAGGGCCCATTCCCCCCAAAGGGGGGTGGGCCCCAAAAAAAAAAAACTTTCACCATCATTCACTCCATCACTGTCTTTCCAGAAGGGTGCTTTACACTACAGTTTTTAAACTGCAACATTAACACCCCTCCTTCAGAGTGCAGGCACTGTACTTCCCATCTCCAGGACTCAAGTCCGGCCTGCCGGTTTCCCTGAACCCCTTCATAAATGTTTCTTTGCTCACACTCCAACAGCACGTCAAGTATATATATATATATATATATACATATATATATATATATATATATATATATATGTATATATATATATATATATATATATATATATATATATATATATATATATATATATATATATATATATATATATATATATATGTCGTGCCGAATAGGCAGAACTTGCGATCTTGGCTTAAATAGCAACGCTCATCTTGCCATATAAGACAAGCGAAAATTTGTATATGCAATAATTTCGCCAAAATCATTTTGAACCTAATGAAAAAAATATATTTCATTGAGTTTCTTTAGTATTAAATTGTTGTAAACAAATCTAAAATGTATTTAGTTGGGTTAGGCTAAAATAAATTGCTCTTGTTATAATAAGGTTAGGTAAGTTTTCTAAGATTCTTTTGGTGCAAAATTAAAATTTTTTACATTAACATTAATGGAAAAAATATATCTTTAAACGTATATATATATATATATATATATATATATATATATATATATATATATATATATATATATATATATATATATATATATATATATATATGTCGTGCCGAATAGGCAGAACTTGCTATCTTGGCTTAAATAGCAACGCTCATCTTGCCATATAGGACAAGTGAAAATTTGTGTATGCAATAATTTCGCCAAAATCATTCTGAACCTAAAGAAAAAAATATATTTCACTGTGTTTGTTTAATATTAAATTATTGTAAACAAATCTAAAATATATTTAGTTGGGTTAGGCTAAAATAAATTGTTCTTGTTATAATAAGGTTAGGTAAGTTTTCTAAGTTCCTATTGGTGCAAAATTATAATTTTTTACATCAACATTAATGAAAAAATATATCTTTAAACACATAAGAGAAAATTTTAGAAAGGACTTAATTTTAAATGAGTTCTTGCTAATTGACCAGTTTTACATATTCGGCACGACATTATATATATATATATATATATATATATATATATATATATATATATATATATATATATATATATATATATTATATATATATATATATATATATATAACATCTAGTAACACTGCTAAGACTAGCCGACTATCAAACCCCGGATATCTTAACACGCCTCCCGAGAAACCCAGCAAAATTCTCACGTGTCTCAGACTCATATCTCTTGTGGTCATCCTGTGAGTGTTAGCTTGTGTCTCCCACGGTCATCCTGTGAGTGGTAGCTTGTTTCTCCCACGGTCATCCTGTGAGTGGTAGCTTGTGTCTCCCATGGTCATCCTGTGTGTGGTAGCTTGTGTCTCCCATGGTCATCCTGTGAGGGGTAGCTTGTAACTCCCATGGTCATCCTGTGAGTGGTAGCTTGTGTCTCCCACGGTCATCCTGTGAGTGGTAGTTTGTGTCTCCCATGGTCATCCTGTGAATGGTAGCTTGTGTCTCCCATGGTTATCCTGTGAGTGGTAGCTTGTGTCTCCCATGGTCATCCTGTGAGTGGTAGCTTGTGTCTTCTATGGTCATCCTGTGAGTGGTAGCTTGTGTCTCCCATGGTCATATTGTGAGTGGTAGCTTGTGCCTCCCATGGTCATCCTGTGATTGATAGCTTGCGTCTCCCATGGTCATCCTGTGAGTGGTAGCTTGTGTCTCCAATTGTCATCCTGTATTAGCTTGTGTCTCCCATGGTCATCCTGTGAGTGGTAGCTTGTGTCTCCCACGATCATCCTGTGGGTGATAGCTTGTGTCTCCCACGGTCATCCTGTGGGTGATAGCTTGTGTCTCCCACGGTCATCCTGTGAGTGGTAGCTTGTGCTTTCCATGGTCATGTTGTAAGTGGTACTTTCGCCTCCCATGGTCACCCTGTGCTAGTTTGTGTCTCCCATGGTCTTCCTGTGCTAGCTTGTGTCTCCTATGGTCATCTTGTGAGTGTTAGCTTGTGTCTCCCATGGTCATTCTATACTCACCTAGTTGTACTCACCTAGTTGAGGTTGCAGGGGTCGAGTCCTAGCTTCTGGCCCCGCCGCTTCACTGGTCGCTACTAGGTCACTCTCCCTGAACCTTGAGCTTTATCATACCTCTGCTTAAAGCTATGTATGGATCCTGCCTCCACTACATCGCTTCCCAAACTATTCCACTTCCTGACTACTCTGTGGCTGAAGAAATACTTCCTAACATCCCTGTGATTCATCTGTGTCTTCAACTTCCAACTGTGTCCCCTTGTTGCTGTGTCCAATCTCTGGAACATCCTGTCTTTGTCCACCTTGTCAATTCCTCTCAGTATTTTGTATGTCGTTATCATGTCCTCCCTATCTCTCCTGTCTTCTAGTGTCGTCAGGTCGATTTCCCTTAACCTCTCCTCGTAGGACATACCTCTTCCTCTGGGACTAGTCTTGCTGCAAACGTTTGCACTTTCTCTAGTTTCTTTACGTGCTTGGCTAGGTGTGGGTTCCAAACTGGTGCCGCATACTCCAATATGGGCCTAACGTACACGGTGTACAGGGTCCTGAACGATTCCTTATTAAGATGTCGGAATGCTGTTCTGAGGTTTGCTAGGCGTCCATATGCTGCAGCAGTTATTTGGTTGATGTGCGCTTCAGGAGATGTGCCTGGTGTTATACTCACCCCAAGATCTTTTTCCTTGAGTGAGGTTTATAGTCTCTGGCCCTTCGGAGTCTATTATTTCCGTCATTTCGTTCACAAATACCAGAAACAGCACTGGTCCTTGGACTCACCCCTGTGGGACCCCGCTGGTCACTGGCGCCCACTGTGATTGGATTGGTAGCTGTGATTGGTGGCTTGTGTCTCCCATGGTCATCCTGTGAGTGTTAGTGGAAAAATAGGCCGGTACTACAGAAATTATAAATGACCTTTATTAGGCACCGCTGACCATAGTTACATCTTAACAAATATCTCATTGTGGCTAGCTGGTCTAGTGGCTAACGCGACGGGCTGGAGTTTTGAGACTCTATGACCGCGCGTTCAATCCCAGCCGGGGGTATGGTTTAAATATCTCAACCATTTCATTAATTACAATGAATCTCTTGGCTGATCACAATACAGAGTAACAATCTCAGAAAACTTAAGAATCTCATTGCCATTAAAAATTAAAGTTTTTATTTCAATTTCTGCACCATACAGGGAGCAACCATCCCGTGTATATTTCCTCTGATGGTCCGCTGGATGCCCCTTCAAGAACGATCAAGGTTCATCGCTTACGTTCTCTTCTGTAAGTTTTATGTATGTATTGCTTACCCCAGGTGCGTTATGGCCCCTGGGGTAAGCAGATACCACCCAGGGCAGGTTTGGGTACGTCTTCTAATTTACTCCTTCAAGAACTCTTCTCTAGCATCCAGCATCTCTCTTGCAAGATATTACTTAGTTTCTGTGTACAATGGCAGGTATTGTGTGTGACGGGTATTACAGACATGTATGATAGGTAT